ATAGTACTCCATTGTGTGTAGATACCACATTTCCTTTATCCATTCGTTTATGGGCATACAGTTTAGGCCATGTGCAAGATGTAGCTATTATGAATTGTGTTGCTATAAACATGGGTATGCACGTATCACTGTCATATGATGTCTTTAACTCTTTCAGGAAGATAGCCAGAAGAGGTACAGCTGACTCGAATGGAATTCCTAGTTGTAGTTTTTTGAGGAATCTCCATACTGATTTCCATAATGATTATACTAGGTTTTTTTTCTTTTTTTTGTCCCTGGGATCAAACTCAGGATCTTGCACTTGTGAAGCAGGCAGTGGCACCACTGAGCTAAATCCCCAGCCCAGTTGTACTAGTTTTTACATCTCTGCCAACAGTGTAGAAGGGGTCCCCCACCTCAGCCTATAGCCTCACCAGCATTTGTTATTATTTGAGTCCTTGATGATGGCCATTCTTCCTGGTGTAAGATGGGATCTCAGTGGGGGTTTTTTTGTACCAGAGATCAAACTCCGGTCCTTGCACTTGCAAGGCAGGCGGCAGAACCATTGAGCTACATCCCTGGCCCTGTGTTGTTTTGATTTGCCTTTTTCTTTTTTCTTTTTTTGTATATCCTTTTACTGGTACATTTTAGGTGTACAATATAATGACATTCATCTCTGGAGATATGCACCTTTACATACTCTCTTGGTTCTTATTTTTTTCCCCCTTCCCCTGCCCTCCCTTCAACCCCTTCATCCCTCCCTATTTACAAAGACTTTGTTTCCTTTTTTTCATTTTCTCATATTAATTCCATTCCCTTCTTTCCTTTCCCCTACCCTTCCCACTTCCCCCTCCCCTTTGCCCCTTTTCTTCCTATTTCACATTATCTATTATACCTTTTAGTCCTTATTTACACTTTCAGTTTCTCACACTAGAGAAACTATTCAGTATTTACACATGTGTGTACTATTTATTTCACTTAAGAGTATCGCCTCAATATGCATCTATTTAGCAATAAATGTCTCTAATTTCTTGTTTTTGATGGCTGAGTAGTGCTCCATTTTATAAAAAAACCCCCACATCTTCTTGATCCAGTCTCCAGTTGATGGGCACTTGGGCTGTTTCCAAGCTTTAGCTATTACAAACTGTGCTACTATGAACATGGGTGCATTGATTTGCCTTTTTCTAATGGCCAAAGGTGCTGAACATTTTTTCATGGATTTATTGCCCATTTGTACTTCTTCTAAGAAGTATCTATTCATTTCAGTTACCCATTTTTTGATTGAGTCTTTTATTCTCCATAACACTCTTTATTTATTATTATTTTTTTTGGTACGGGGGATCGAACTCGGGTTCTTGCGCCTGCACAGCAGGTGGCAAAACCACTAAGCTGAATCCCCCGGCCCCTCCATAACACTCTTGAATCATAATTTGGCTAAGTATAAATTTCTATCATTGTTAGGCTTTCTCTTCAATTCTGGGGAGAAAAAAATCTCGGTAATTTTTCAAGTACCACTTTTTCCACTATTCCTTTTGCTGGGTTCCGGTCAGCAAAGCCTGATGATGATAAACAGAGAATATCTTTGCAGGGGTGGGGTGGGGTCTTCATCAGAATGGAATGATGCTCCGAACTGACTCAAACCCCTAGATTTATTGAGGAACAACAAAGGCAATAGAGCTCTGCTGAGCGCAGATGTTTTATTTATTTATTTATTGAGGGAGGGTTTCGCTAAGTAGTGCAGGCTGGCCTTAAACTCACTATGTACCCCACACTGGCCTCGAACTCATGGCGATCCTCCTGCCTCAGCCTCGCAAGTGTTAGAATTCAGATGTTTTCACTATATTCTGAATGAGTTCCTCAGTTCTGGCTTCTGATTCTTTCTTTTATTTTTCCCCCCAATGAATTAGTCTTGTTTTATTCTCTTGGTGGTATCTTCTTGAGGTAACAACTTCTATGGTAAATGATGAAATGTCTAGGCCCCTCTTTAGATATTGGCATTGCTGGGAGCATATTCTTTCCCTTTACTGCAACTTGGCATTAAAATTCTTTTTTGGTTTGTTTAATTAATTAATTAATTAATTCTTTTGACAAAGTCTTGCTTTGTAGTTTAGGCTGGCTTTGAACTCACTATATAGCCTAGGCTGGCCTCAAACTTGCACGATCCTCCTGCCTCTGTCTCCTGAATGCTGGGATTACAGGTGTGTGCCATCACGCCCTGCCCAGGTTTGTTTATTTTAAAAATGTATTTCTTGGGCTGGGGATCAGCTCAGTGGCACGGCACCTGCCTCTCAAGCGCAAGGTCCTGAGTTCGATCCCCAGTACCAAAAAAAAATGTATTTCTTTATTTTTTTGCTGTGGTACTGGAAGTTGAACCCTGGGCCTTCACATTGAGCTACATCCCTAGCTTTTTAACAAAATTTGAATCAGGGTTGGCTAAGCCACTAAATTGCCCAGGTTTGAATTTGCAATCTGCCTACCTCATCTTGCCAGAGTTCTGGGATTATGAGCATGCAGTGTTACACCTTGCTTTTTTGTTTCTTTTTTGTGATAATGGGGATGGAACCTAGGAGCCTGTGCATGCTAGGTAATTGCTCTGTCAGTGAGCTATATCCCCCAGCTCAGAATTACAACTTTTTTTTCTTTGAGACAGTGTCTTATTTTGTGGTTCAGGCTGGCCTTGAATTTACTAGGTAGCCCAGGCTGGCCTTGAACTTGTGGAAATCCTCCTGGCTCAGTCTCTTCTCCTGCTCTTGTTTTTTTTTTTTTTGGTACTGGGGATCGAGCTTGGGACCTTGTACTTGTGAGGCAGGCGGAGGAACCACTGAGCTAAATCCCAGCCCCAAGTCTCTTGAATGCTGAGATTATAGATGTGTGCTACTGCACCAGGCAGAATTACAACTTTTCTTCCCATTTCCCAACTTCCATTATACAGTGTTCAAATGGGAAGGGGAACAAGGGAGGAACAAAGGAGAAAGGAAAGAAGGGACAAGAAAAAAAGTGAAAAATACAAACAAAGCTTTTGTACATAGGGAGGGGAAGGGGCTTGAGGGAGGGAATAGGATAAAATAAAATTTATAAATTAAAAAAAGAATTACAACTTTTAATTTTTGCTTTTTATATTCCAATCCAGAAATTTTCACTGTAGAATTGAATTTATTCTTTTTCAATCTAGTGTCTCCCTCTGAAGGCATTTTAAATTTCAATTAGGTTATTTTTGTATTTCAAGAATTTCTTGGTTCTTTTTCATATTGTTTCTTTTCTCCCTATTTTTACTTACTCCTTTAAGTTTTGTTTTCTTTTCTTTTTTTGTACCTTGCTCTTTCAAGGCAGATGCTGGAGCCACCGAGCTAAATCCCCCGCTCCCCTATTTTTACTTACTAATTCCCTTTTGAAATGGAAGGTATGCATTCATCTCTGAACATCTTCAACATACTAAAGTCTTTTACTGTTACAAAGTCCCAGGGGAGATTTCTGGTTAAATGGTTAATTTCTTTATTTGTGTATTTTTGGCTCCTTGAGATAAAGTCTCACTATGTAGTCTGCCCAGGCTGACCTTGAATTCATGACACTCCTGCCTCAGCCGCCCATGTGCTGGGGTTACAGGTATGTGCTGGCTACTTGTTAATTTCAAAGGCTGGCTTTTGGAACAGTAGGAACTTTCTGTGTTTTCTGATTATGGTTCAAAGTTTTAAAAAATTAAATTAAAAAAAAATTTTAAAAATTAAATTAAAAAAATATTTTGGTGATGCTGGGAATTGAAACAAGGATTTTGTACATGCGACACAAACATTCCAGCACTGAGCTATTTCCCCAGCTATTTCATTTTTATTTTACTTTGAGTTTTTAGTGGTACTGGGGATTTAAGCCAAGACCTTCACACTGATGGATAACCCCTGCCTTTTTTATTTTTTATTTTGGGACAGGTTCTTGCTGAGTTGCCCAGGCTGGGCTCAAACTTGTGATTGTCCTTCCTCAGCCTCCCAGAGTGCTGGGATCACAGGAATGGACCACCATACCTGCTTTTCTTTTTATTTTGAGGCAGGGTCTTGCTACATTGCCAAGCTGGTCTTGAAATCGCCATCCTCCTGCCTCAGCCTCCAGCATAGCTGGGATTATCAGTGCTCTTTTTGTGTGAGGAAGTATTTGTCTTGTTTCTCACTTTTTCCTCACCCTTCCCAGGATGCCTCTGTCTGAACTTCGTGCCTGAAACTGCAGTCAGGGCTGAGCATCAGATTATCTTCCTCTGGTTAAGAGGAATATGGTGGGTCCAGTTTTGGGAGCCTGACACCTTGACGGGTCTGGTAGTGAGGGTGTTTTCTTTGGTTCTCACTTCCCTAAGCTGTAAGAAAGCTCCAGTCCACAGACTGACACCATTTTCTGTACCTTTTCTTCATAGGCTGTGGAGCTCACTCTGCCCTCCGGGATCAAGCTGTGAGTTTCAGGGGCTGAATTTCATTCAGCTGCCAGTGCCCAATTTCCAGAGCCTCACAAGCCTGAGACTTTAGCTCTACCCTCTTACTACCCATCAACTAATGAATAGATTAAAAAAATGTGGTTTTAAAAAACACAATGGAGGGCTGGGTATTTAGCTCAGTGGACACAATGGAGCACTACTCAGCCATAAAGAAGGATGATCTTGAGACATTTCTAGCTAAATGGATGCACCTTGAGACCATACTCTTAAGTGAAATAAATCAGACACACATGTTTAAATATTGCTTTGTTTCTCTGGTATGAGAAACCAAAAGTGGAAATAAGGACCAAAATGTATAATAGATATTGGGAAATGGGAAGAAAATATTCAAATGAGAAGGGGAACAAGGGAGTGGGAGAGGAAAAGGAAAGAAGGGACAAGAAAAAGAGAACAGAAGGAAAAAAATGAAAACAAAGCTTTTGTATATAAGGAGTGAGACAGCAGTTGAGGGGAGGGAGGATGGGAAAAAAGAAGATACATCATGTACAGGTACAAATGCCATAGGACGAATTGTTATCACTTTGTACATCTAGAATGTACTAATAAATGTTTCAAAAAGAAAAGAAAAGAAAAGAAAAGAAGAAAAGAAAAGAAAAGTCCCCTGTGTCCCGGCCTTGCCCTGACCTCCGGCAGGGGCCGCTCTAAGTCATCTCTGGAACATTCCGACCCTTCCCATTTAGCGTCTGGAAGAGAGAAGGTTCTCAGAAATGATCACAGCACAACTCAATGAATTTTAAAAACCCACAGCAGGGCCCAGGATTTAGCTCAGTGGTTTTGCTGCCTGCTGCGCAAGCTCAAGGACCCGAGTTCAATCCCCGGTACCAAAAAGCCCAAACCAAAACAAAAAAACCCACAGCAGCCCCCCAGAATTCTGGGCATCCCTATCGGAAGGCTCAGAAGGATCTGGGAACAGTAATCTTTCCCGGCTCAGCTCCACGCATGGAATGGGAAGAGCATCCTTGCTTGAGTTTGTTGACCGAAGCTAAGACCGTACAGATAGAGAAGAATCCTCAGTCTTTCTATATAGGTTGTTTACTTTTTATCTGGCTGATTTCTGGTTTATTTTGTTCTTCCAGCCCTCATCAAGGTGGGTGGACTCAAGGAAAGTGGGGACAAAAATGACGTAATTTCCAGAGGCACTGACCAGGGCGGGCAGATTAGGGCTCCTTCCTGCTTCTAGAGTTCTGGGTTCCGGGAAGTTTCGTGTGTCATTAAAGAAACTGGATCTCACTTCTAGCGAACTCGGGACCCTGGCCCAGTGTGTCTGTTCACCCTCATCTCTGTGGATGTGAACTCAGACTGCAGCTACGGGGAACAACTGAGGTCTGAGAAACAGCTCTCAGAAGGGAATGAAAGACACAGCAGGCTACTCTTGAAATAGTCACCTGGGGTCCCACTCCAGAGCTGGCCTGGGGCTGCCCTTTCACTGGTTTTGCACTAGGAATGCTTGTTAGCCACATGGTAAGTAGGAAATCACACTAGTTTTTAACTTTCCTCTTTCTTTTCTTTTCTCTCATTCTTTCTTTTTTTGTACTGAGGAATTGAACCTGGGGCTCACACATGCTAGGCAAATGGTCTACCATTGAGGCAACATCCAGCTTTTGTTTGTTTTTGGTGGTATTGGGGATTGACCCCAGGGCCTTTGCATTTTTTATTTTGAGACAGGGTCTGGCCTCAAATTTGTGATTCTCTAGCCTCAGCCTCCTGAGTAGCTTTGATTACAGGCGTGTGTCACCATGTCTGGCTTCAACCTAACCTTTCTTACATTGTTAGAACAATTCTATTTTAGGAACCTGGGTCCTATCAGGGAAGAAACCAGAGGGCCATTTTATTAGAAAAGGAAATCCCACAAGTCCAGGTATAAGAGGAAGGACATACACACATAACTAAATTCAGAGTCACTGCTGGAAACAATGTCTCAGTTCTTGTCACCAAAGACAATTGCAGTGGGTGGGGAAATGGGAATGAGACCATCAGCAGCCTGGGTCACCAAGGGAAACTCTGAGCTGGGTGGGTCTGATACATGGCAGGCTCCGGATGTTGCTCCAGAGGACCTGCCCTTCACCCTCTTCCCTTCCTGGATGGCTCAGACCCCTCCACGCTCCTTTCTGGAAGGGCACATGCACCTGGACCTCCAGTTGCTGTGATGGGGCTGCTCTTCTGACACTGGCTCCTCCTTGGGCCTCAGCAATGTGCACACAACTCCTGTGGGTAACACTTTCCTGCCTTTGGGTCCCTTCCCACACACAGACACCTGCCGCAGCAGGGACTTGTGGAAGAAGGCTGTCTTTTTGTTTGTTTTTGTGTTTTGCGACAGGGTCTCGCTATGCAGTTCAGGCTGGCCTTGAACTCACTGTGGAGCCCAGGCTGGCCTGGAACTTGCAGCGATCCTCCTGCCTCAGCCTCCCTTGCGGTGGGATTACAGGTGTGCACCACCATGCCTGGCCAACCAGCTCTTTTAAATATACTTTTTCATGTATTGAATTCTCCTTTTAGTTTTTTTGTTTGATTTTGTCTTATTTTAGTTTTTCCCACTATTTAAATCTGTCAGCATTGTGTTTATAATTTACATGCTATGTATTTCATCTTTGCATTATTTCCGATTCTGGAAGTATGAACTAAGGACTTTCAGAGAATTTTCATCTGTTTTCCACATCCTTTGGCTGGGGAAAGTGCGTTATCACAGCGATGGCTTTGTGCGTCAGAGTCGTGCATGTATGTGGAAATGGTGAAACTTTCTCAGTAAATGAATGGGTGTCCTGCTTGTACATCTGCATTTGTGAAAGGCTAGGTTAGGTCGGGGATTTAGCTCAGTGGTTCTGGCGCCTGCCTTGCAAGCGCAAGGTCCCAAGTTCGATCCCCAGTACCAAAAAAATAAAAAATAAAAAAAACGAAAGGCTGGGTGACTACTCGTATGTGGCAGTGATCTATTTCAGTTTCTGATCGATATTGTCAAAGGTGTAGATTCTGTCATCGTTTTTTTAAAATTTCCCCAGCCCTGTTCTGTCATGGTATCTCAGATGACAGAAGTTTATTAAGCTGGATGGCTGCTCACAGGGAGTGCCATAGAGATAGTGTCTAACACATTTCACCTTTGGTTTTAAAAATTTTTTTAAAAATTGATTTTATTGGAATGTTTTTTAAATTAAAAAAATTTTTTTTTGTACCAGGGATTGAACTCGGGACCGTGTGCTTGCGAGGCAGGCAGCAGAACCACTGCGCTAAATCCCTAGCCTTGTTTTTTAAATTTTTTGTGACAGGGTCTCACTATGTAGTTCAGGCTGGCCTTGAACTCACTATGGAACCTCAGGCTGACCTGGAACTCATGGCGATCCTCCTGCTTCAGCCTCCCAAGTGCACATTTCACCTTTGGATCCAGTTCTTTATGAACACAGTCTGTGGTTAAATATTCACCTGACTATTGTTAGTATAACTGAGTATGTATGCTAACAAAAAATATAAATGTTTGCCTATTTTATTGTGTAAAATGGCCTATGAAATGTCTGTTTTTTACGTGTTTCTCAAATACCCCTTTAAAGATGTAAATGGGGTAGGGGGTGTAGCTCAGTGGTAGCACACATGCTTGAGGCCCTACTTTTAATTTCCATCAATAAGAAAAAAAAGTGTGAATATCATTTAAAGAATTAAGCCAGATGTGGTGGCACATATCTGTAATTTTAGCACTCTAGAGGCTGAGGCAGGAGGATTACTGTGGGTGTGCAAGGCCAGTCTGGGATACATAGTGAGTTCAAGGCCAGCTTGAACTACATAAGGGAGACCTTGTTACAAACAAACAAACAAATCCTGAAAAAAATTAAAAATTCTTTGTTGTTGTTTGTTGTAGGGCTCATTGCAGCCCCGTGTCCTGTTGGGCCAGCAGTCTTAATTCTCTCTGATTTTCTACTTTCCAGTGAGTGACCAGGCCAGTTCATGAAATTGAGGAACCCAGCAGAGGAGATTAGTGGAACTGGTCCCGTTGATGGCTCATCAATGACCAGGGTGCAGATTGACTCTGGTAAGGACTGAGATGAAAATTGTATATCAGGGTCTTGACGCTACATATGGCGCTTCAGAATTACATTTTTGATCTTTTGGGGATTTTAACATTCAGAATGGTGTCTTTCCAGGTTATGATCAATACAGTAAAATAAGGAACCTATGAAAGTGAGCGGGTGACCTTTTGTAAACAGCAGCTTTTACCAGGAGTGTGGAGAGGCTGGAGTGACACATTACAGGACTGTCACCATCTCCCCCCCCCCCCCGCCCCCGATAACATCTGACCAACATGTCAGACAGACATTACTCTTCAGCCAAAAAGTCCTCCCCGTGTGGGCCTCTACTTCCTCATTTGTAACCTGCTTAATGTTTTACAAACTGTGTGGCCTGGAAATTGTTCTTCATATCTAATCTAATCTAAATCCTTCCTGCTACAATGTGTCAGAGTTCACTTCTTTTTAAAGTAACACTCAGATCCATGGAAATGAGCTGGTTTCTCAGTCAGAGGCAGTCACTTGCCTTGGCTTATTGTAATTTTGGGGGGGTACTGGGGATCAAACTCAGGACTTTGCACTTGCCAGGCAGGTGTGGCGCCACTGAACTAAATCCCCAGCCCGGTTTATTGTAATCTTTGAGAAATCAATGAAGCCAGGTGTGGTGATGCACGCCTGTAGTTCCAGCACTGGGGAGGCTGAGGCAGGAAGATTGCTGCGAGTCCGAAGCCAGCCTTGAGCTATATAGTGAGGCCAAGTCTAGCCTGAACTATATAGCAAAACCTTGTCTCAAAAAGCCAGAGGGAAAAAAAATCAATGAATATTTGTGATCACTGCACATGAGGATTGGGTGAGCCTAGCCGGGAGGCTCCTGAGAGGTGTGACAAGACTCCAGCTCCCTGCAGCCCCAAGTCCTGTTGGGCCAGCAGTCTCAGTCCTCTCTTACTGTCTACTTTTAGGTGAGTGACCGGGCCAGTTTACGAAATCGAGGAACCCAGCAGAGGAGATGAGTGGAACTGGTCCCATTGATGGCTCATCAATGACCAGGGTGCAGCTTGCCTGGCAAGGACTGAGATGAAGACTGTGTGTTGGGGACGGGGATTTAGCTCAGCTGTTCTGCGACCTGCCTTGTAAGCACAAGGTCCCGAGTTCGATCCTCGGTACCAAAACAACAACAACAACAACAAAAAACCCTGTGTGTTGGGGGTCTTGGGTGTTTTAGCTGGGGACACGATCAGGACCTTTCGCTCAGCTCCTTGGATACCTTTTGCAGCTCACCAACCCTTCTTGTTGGCTGTTAGCACAAACCATGTACTCTCTGTCCAACTGTGTGGGCCTGAAGCTGTGTCGGCAAAGCTCCTGTGTGAGGGAAACGTCCACCTGATCGCACAGGGCCCCCTCTCGGCCTCCACGCATCTCCTCTGCCCCTGCTGCAAGCCTGTGGCTGAGGACACCCGGGGGGACCCCAGAGAACCTGTGGATGTGTTTTGTTTGGCCCTGTGGTGTTATGTTTTTGCTTTCGAAGTTGAACTGGTTGTCCAAGTCTAAAAACTGATAGGTTCTTATGATCCAAATTTCTGGCTGTTAGGAAAAAGGAAAAGAAGAAACAGAGGTACGAGCTCAGTAGGACAGGTTTATTGTCCAACAAACTTGAGAGGGACCACTCTGGCACTGGAGACCAGATGAGGTGCTCTCCTACAGGCTACAGGGTCTTTTGTAGAGCCATGGGGAGGGCGGAGTTCAGTGAGAGGGGGCTGTGGCTCCTTGCCAAAAACAAGGCTTGACAGAGCACATGGTACTGGTTGCCCAAGGATGAGGCCTGGGAAAGCGCAGGGAGCAGTGGCTGCTATCAGTAGCTGGGCTGATAGTGTTGTGAGTCCTCAGGTGCAGCTGTGCTGTAAGGGGGCAGTTTACAGGGGTCTCTGATCAGGATGGCGATGGTCAGATTCCTTCATTGGATTTTCTTGAAAAATAGAAGATTTGGCAACACTGAAGCTGCATTCCCTCCCGGCACCATCATCCAGATTTGGCTGGAGACCCTCCCTTCAGATGGGACCCCCATCTCAGAGCCTCATGAGCTCACCTGGCTCTGGAGTCATTTTGACCCGAGGTGCAGTGCCCGGACACCTGCTTTGGGCACTGGCAAAGAGCACAGCCACAGGTATTCTGTTCCTTTGGGCTTGGCCTTCCTCTTCTCTGAGAAATGGTATCAGCAGGCCAGTGATTTCTGCAGATTTTTCTCTCAGATTTTATGCATGTATGTATGTATGTATGTATGTATGTATGTATTTATTGAGACAGAGTCTTGCTATGTAGTTCAGGCTGGCCTTGAACTCTCAGCAAGCCTCCTGCCTCAGCCTCCCAGGTGCTGGGATTATAGGCGTGTGCCACCAAACCAGGCTCAAGGACATATCTCATGTTGGCAGTCAGTCCTCCTTTTAGGATTGAGGGGATGGGTCTCTGTTTGAAATTTGTCTCTCTGCACTGTTTCTAGATTCTTTAAAGTCTAAGGGAATTCTGTGAGGACAAAGGGGAATTTGTAACAACTCCCATAATATATCAAGTATAATTAATGCTAAATTTATCCAATTTATGTGCTCACCAAACAAAACTTAGAAAATAAAAATGTCTTAAACCACATTTTTACATTTAAATCCTGATTTTAAATTATCTTTCTTTTGGGTGAAAAGAATACAAAGTCTGAGACAACATGACTTAAACCATTGAGAAATGTCTCGAGTCACACAGCGGGATGCACAGAGGAAAGGTGACTTCCGGTGGCACCTCAGGGCCCATGCCCCACCTCCTGGCAGGCCAGTGTCAGCCTCATGGGAGGAGCCATGTGGCTCTGCTAGCCAGACACAGCAATTCATTATTGTCTTTTTTAGGGGGCAGGAGGAAGGTGGCCAGAACTGTGTCACATGACCATTCCTAGAACCAACCTGGGCTGGGGAAGGGACTGCCAATTGGCTTTTACTACTTAGCCAGGATGAAATGAGTGTTGGGAGTCCAGCACGTTGGTCACTACACAAACTTAATTAAATTTTCTTAAACAATCTAAATTGCAACAATTCTTATACATCAAATAGACAAAACACCAAACAAAACAAAAAATAAAATAGTCTCCAAGGCCATAACTATATTTAAATCTAGTTTCAAAATATTAAAACCAAGGGCTTAATATTCTATTTTTTGCTTGTTTGTTTGTTTTGGATTTTTTTGAGACAGGGTCTTACTATGTAGTTTAGGCTAGCCTTGAACTCATGAAGATCCTCCTGCCTCAGCCTGCCAAAGTGCTGGGATTATAGGTGTGCACCACCACACCCAGCTAATATTTATTCTTACAACTAATATTTATTTTAGCACTTTTCTATTAATATTTGTCATAATAGAACTGGGTCCCAAGTTAAACTAATATCATCTTGGAGGCAGGTAGGAGGGGAAGGAGACAAAAGAATTAAGATGTGTTATGTACATGTACCAACTCCCTGTGATGAATGTAGCCATTATATATTGTAAACAGAAACATTTTAAGAAAAGTAATACTGGGCCAGGGAATTAGCTCAGTGGTTCTGCTTCCTGCCTTGAAAGCTCAAGGTCCCAAGTTCGATCCCTGGTACCAAAAAAATAAAAAGAAAAGAAAATTAATACTATTTCATATTGTCCAAAGTTGTAGGTTATTTATTTATATTTGATTCTTGGCTGGAGCAATCCTGGGAGACTTGGTGACATCTGAATTGAGCTGACCCACCAGGATGCCTCCCTATCCTCTTTTGTGTGTGTGTGGAACTCAGGACCTTGGGTTTGTAAGGCAGGCAGAGGAACCACTGAGCTAAATCCCCAGCCCTCCCTATCCTTTTTTAACAGGCTAAGATGAAATTCACACACCACACAGCTCATCCATTTAAACAACTCAATAGTTCTTAGTATATTATGTTGGTCAGCTTTCCATTGCTGTGACAAAATACCTGAGAGAATAAACTTAAATGAGGAAAGGTTTGACTCAAGGTTTCAGAGGTTTCAGTCCATAGTTATTTTTTTTGGAAAAGAACTTGACTTTATTCAGAAAGTCTACAAAATGCAGAAGGCAGATAACTCGCTCACTGTAAGTCAGAAAATAAATAAATTCTGGGGGCCGGGCAGTTTTCTTAAAAAAACGTTGTGGTTGCCACCTGGCCTTCCCTAAATATATGATAAAATGCGATTTGCATATATATAAAATATAAAGCCCAGCTCAGGCCCACACCGCCACTTTTCCCAGGGAGCAGGAGCTGGGCTCTGGCTGGGGAGAATAATTTAGATTCATGCAATAAATAGACAGCAGAGGGGGCGGCTGTATACAGCGCTAGGGGAAGGGCCAAGCTGGGCTTTTCCACAGCAGTCAATGGCAGGGCCACTCCCATCCCACGGGGGACACTTATGGGTGAGGTGAGACCCTTCCTTCCAAGGTCTCACTCCATGCTTCGGGACTGCAGGCTCTGTCTCACTTCCCTACCTCCACAATGGTCACCTCCACTGTCCCCTTCTTTGGCTGGCCAGCCTCTTTCCCATCAGCCATCTACATCACCTTCTCTTTCCCTCTGCTTCTCTTCCCCTCCCATCAGACAGCTGTGCTCCTGGCTCGGGAGGCCTCTCACCACCTTCATCACTCCCTGTCCATAGTTATTTTTCAAAATAAATTTTATTTTATTTTACCCTAACACCTCCCCACCCCATTGTTTCTGGGCCTGTGGTGAGGCAGAATATCATGGTAGGGAGCAAGAATGAGGGAGGGAAGGAGAAAGAGAAAGACAGACAGACACACTAGGGACAAAGTATACCTCCAAGGGTATGCCCCAATGACCTACCTCCTACAACTAGGCCCCACCTCCTAAAGTTTCTACTACCTCCCAATAGCCTACAAAGTTATAATGCCATAAATAGATTAATTCATTCATGACGTCAGAGCCCTGATGATTCTATAATCTTCTGAAGACCCTACCTCTCAATACTACTGCACTAGGGAATCAGTCTTCAAAACATGAGCTTTGGGGCACATTTAAGATCCAAACCAGGTCGTATTTCTTGGATGACTCCTCACCTGGCAGTTCCCACCGTGCAAGAAGCCTCCAGAGAGCCACCTCCATCACTGGCATCACCATGGGGGCTGTGTGGGACATCTTCTCCCTCACCTCTGCAGGGTGTATCATGCTTGCTGTGTAATTGCTATCCCAACAGTAAGAATTCCACTGTGACTCAACTCATCTATGCTTTTACTTTCTTCTTGAGCTGCTGTGTCCTGTATCATGCTGACAGAAAGAATGGAAACTGAGCTGACAAAGATTCTTGGATTCTGTGAAGGGAGATTTAAAATAAGGTCGCTGATTTAAAGGTAAAGATTGTGATGTGCTGGTCAGTTATAAAGCTGCAGATTGGATCAGCTTTAGCTGAGTCATCTTTTTCTTTGTTTTCCTGTTGCGCATGTTAAAAGTAAAAACAAGAAAAGATCCCAGAGCAGTATTACACAGTGGATTTTGGTTCTTCAAAATGGTCGCCATTGTTGGCACCATGATTGAATCTTTCTGCATCCCTAGGGGCTGTTTCATCTTGGTCTGGTTTATTGTTGACCTGTTAGGGGCTGTTTGCTTCATCTTCATCTGACTGGTGCTTTTGGTAAACTGAGCCTGACATGAGGCATGGGTAAGTCATATGGAAGAAGGAAACCCAAGTGTTTGTTGTACCACTTTATACTCTGTTTAGAAGCTTGTTTTATATTTTGCCAATCCTCTCTGTTGGGCTGGCCTATATGTACTGCACTAAGCCAGATGGATGCATGCGAAACAAGTTTTTCAGCAGTATTAATCTGATCCTTTGCATTGTGGTTTCTACTATATCAATCCACCCAAAAATCCAGGGACGCCATCCTAGTTCTGGCCCCCTACAGTCCTCTGTCATCTCTCTCTACACCTTGTACCTCACATGGTTAGCCAGGACCAACGAACCTGCTCATTCCTGCAACCACACCCTGCTGGGCATCATTATACACACAGCTGCGCCAACCCATGGATCCTACAAATTTAACAGCTGCACCTACATTTGCTCCACCATCAAAGAACAGGCACTTTCTGTAGACAAAGAACATTTGGGGGCTGTTTGCCTTTGCTTTCTGCCTTTCATATCCTACCATCCAACAATAGCCAAGTAAAGAAGTTTAGCCTCTTGGGGAGTGATGGCGTGATCCTTGGTGACACAATGGCCACTGAAGCCAGCAATGAACAAGATGGACAGGCTCAATGAACAATGAGAAAGAAGGAGTTGTAATGCAGCTACTCCATTTGTCACCTGATGCCTGGCTTCCTTGTACATCATGAAGACTGACAAACTGGTAGAGTCCTGATTCCAAATTCCAGAGTGTACCCAGCAGATGGCCAGCTGTGTAGGTCAAGATCAGCTCTGGCTGCGTGTGCCTCCTCCTCTACTTCTGGACCCTCATTGTTGCACTCATCCATGCCAATTGGGACTGAAGTTCTGATTGCCAAGGACACTGATGAAATTCTCAAAGTTCTCCTTTGCTGAAAACCCATGTCCTTTTAAGTTTAAGTGAATGCTTTGGAAATTTGATTATTTTGGGTTTATATCAAGATTAAATAGTGCTCAATGCAGAACTTGAAATTTTCATGTCTACATATATTATGCTCATTTGTAAGGATAGACCACAAAGGGCTTACTTTTATGTGTAAAAGTGGTGACAGCTTTGCTGTGAAGTTCTTCATAAAGACATGTAGATTCCTACAACTTTGGTTTAAAATGTTAGAAGAAGAGGGAAGGGAGGAGAAGGGGAAAGAAAAGTAAAAAGAATTAAGATGTGTTATGTACATGTATCAACATACTAGTAAGGGAGTCTTTCCACTATAAGCTCTTGTAAACATCAGCACAAAAGAAAGCAAACAATCATAAAGAAAAGGCAACAAAATGCCTCCCAAACTCCCAAATCCCCCAAAGCCAATCTATGGGCATTAAGGGACAGCAAAGCAAAAGCCACATAGCCCAATTGTTTGAAAGGATAATGAAGGAGATTAAAGAATAGATCAATGAGGGCTGGGGATTTAGCTCAGTGGTTCCGCCACCTGCTTCACAAGCGCAAGGTCCTAAGTTCGACCCCCGGTACCAAAAAAAAAGAATAGATCAATGAGATGCTAAGCAGGCTCACAGGAAGTATAACTAATCAGATAATGGAGGTAATAAACAAAACAATCGAGGTTACAGAACACACTAATAAAAAGCTAGCTGAGCTAAACAAAAATAATACAAAACATGAGTGACAAGTTTAGCAAAATAAAGTCCATGAAAAGGTTCAGAACAGACATCCAGGAGGTTAAAAATTACATTGAAAGTATGGGGAACAGAAGGGACCAATGTGAGGACAGAGCAGTAAACTTAGAAGGTAGAGATGCTTTCAAAGACCAGTTACTCAGAAATACCTTAAAAACAACAAGAGAACATGTAAAATGGATTCAATACTTGCAAGATGACACAAGACTAATTTAAGATTAATTGGAATTAGTGAAAAATCAGAAGATAGTACAAAGGGCATAAAAAATCTGTTTGCAGAATAATAGCATAAAATTTTCCAAATTAGGAAAAAACTTGAA